GAATCTCAGTGCTGTTTTATCTGTATTTCTCTGATGACCAGTGATGCTGAATGTTTTTTGTTATTAACTGATCATCTGTACTACTTCTCCTGAGAAGTGTCTGTTCATTTCCATTGCCCATGTTTTGATTAGGTTTTTTATTTAGGGAATCTAATTTGTTTTATTTCTTTATATATTTCTAGATATTTGTCCTCTGTCCAAGCTATTGGTGGCCAATTTCTTTTCCCATTCTGCAGGTTTTCTCTTTACCCATGGTTTCTTCCTTTGCTGTACAGGAGCCTTTTAATTTTTTTTCCTTTTTTTTTTTTTTCTTCTCTTTTTTGCAAGGAGCCTTTTAATTTGATATGGCCCTATTTGTTGATTCTCAGTGTTATTTCTTCTGCCAGTGGGGTTCTGTTCAGAAAGTCCTTTCCTAGGCCTATGTCTTCGTTTTATATATATTTTTTTCTTCCAGCAGATTGTTTCTGTTTTAATATTTCACTCTCTGGTCTATTTTTATTTCAGCTTTGATTTTAGTATCTCATGAGAGATATGGGTGTAGACTCAGTCTCCCACATGTGAATGGCTAACTTTCCCTTTGTGCAATTTGTGAAGAGCTCATCTTTCATACAGTGCTTTATTTTGGCCCCTCTGTCAAAGACCAGGTGACTGAATATGTCTGGGATTTTTTCTGTGTCCTCTGTTCTATTCCTTTGGTCCACAGGTCTTTTTTTGTGTCAGTACCTTGCTGTTTTTATCACTGTAGCTTTGTAGTATACCTTAAATGCACTGGTAGGGATTGTGTTGAATCTGTGTATCAGCTTTAGAAGTATGAACACTTCGATGGTGTGTGCTCCGGCTCTCTCATTTTCTAATATTTTCTTCAGTCTCCTTCTTCAGAGCACTGTGGGTTTCAATGAAGGTATTTTTTACTTCCTTGGTGAGGTTAACTCCTAAGTATTTACTTATCTTGTTGTTTTAGTGAATGGTGTTGTTTGCTTAATTTCTTCCTTGGCGGGTTCTCATTGGTGTCCAGGAACACCACTGATTTTTGTGTGTTGATTCTGTGCCCTCTTACATTGCTGAATTTGGTTATGAAGCTTTCAATGGAATTTTTGGGGTCATCTACGTGTCTACGTAGAGGGTAGTGTCACCTGTGAGCAGTGATAATCTGACTTCTTCCTCTCCTATGCATATTGTTTTTATTTCTATCTCTTGCCTGATTGCTCTCGCAAATGTTTTGAGGACTATGTTGCACGGGAATGGTAGGAGTGTGCATCTTGGTCTTTTTGCTGATTTTACAGAGAAAGCTTTCAGTTTCTTTCCATTTCATGTGATATAGGCATAGATTTGTCAAAAATAACTTTTATCAGATTGAAAGAGTGTCCTATACTTTTTTTTGGAGTCATTTCTTATCATGAATTGACCTTGGATTCCGTCAGTGACTTTTTCTCCATCTGTTAATATAATCATGTGATTTTGCCCGTACTTTTGTTTATGTATGATATTCACCCACGGGTATATATCGAACCATCCTCCTATCCCTGGGATGACGCCTACTTGGTCAGGGTATACAATCTTTTTGATGATTTGCTGCATCTGCTTGCCTGTGTTTGTTAAGGATTTTTGCATCTGTGTTCATTAAAGAGATTGACCTGCGGTTATTTTTTTTTTTTTCCCCCTGTGGGGTCCTTGTCTGGCTTTAGAATCAGGATATAATGGCAGCTTCCATGAATGAGTTTAGAAGTACTCCTTCCCTTTCAATTTCATTGAAGAGTTTGAGAAGTATCGGCATCATAACCTCCCCGAAGGTCTGTAGAATTCAGCAGTGAATCCATCAGGTCTTGGGCTTTTCTTAGTTGGGAGGATTTTTATTACTCCTTCAATTTAATTTCCTGTTATTGGATTGTTCAGCATTTTATGTCTTTTTGATTCAAGTTCGGTAATTCATATGAGTCTAGGAATTTGCCCATTTCTTCGAGATTGTTCAATTTATTGGAGAACACTTTTTCATAGTAGTTTCTAATAATCTTCTGAACTTGGCAGTGTCTGTCGTGATTTTGCCTTTTTCATTTCTAATTGCATGGATGATGATATGTTATTCCTTGGGTAAATTTAATTTAGGATTTGTCTATTTTGTTTGTTCATTCAAAGAACTCTTCGATTCATTGATTCTTCTTCTAGTTGTTTTTGTTTAGTTTCAATTTCATTAATTTCTGCTCTTATCTTTTTGGACCAGGTTTGGGTTTGGACTGTTCTTGTTCCAGTTTCTCCAATTACATCATCCGTTTGTTTGTTTGGTCTCCTGTTTCCGTAATGTGAGATTCCACGGCAATCTGTCTCTGTCAGGACTGCCTCCACCGCGTCCCATAGGTTCTGGTGGGTTGACATTATCACCTGATTGTAGGAATTTTTTAATTTCTTCTTTGATTTCTCCCATGACCTGCTGCATGTTCAGGAGTCGGTTATTTAATGTTCACTTGTTAGTGGAATTTCTGTGGTTTCTTTTGTCGTTGATTTCTAGTTTCAGTGTGCTACATCTAATAGGATACATAAGATGATTTAGACGCTTTTCTATTCATTTAAGCAGGCTTTGTGGACCAATACTGTGCTTATCTTGGAGACAGCTCCACGCCACGTGCTGCTGAGAAGAGTGCATATTCTCTTGCAGCACAGCAGAATACTCTGTAGATCTCTGTTTATCCGTTTGTCGTAAGGTCTGGCTCCACTCTAGTATCTGTTAACTTTTTATGCAGTTGGTTTTTGGGGTATTGAGGCCTCCACTATGACTGCATTGGTGTTTATTTGATTTTGCACGCCCAGCAGTCTTTGTGCTAGGGAGGCAGGTGTGCTGATATTCTGTGCATATAGGTTTACAATTGTCAGTCATATGTAGTGACCTTTTATGCCTCTTCTGATCAGTTTTGATTTGAAATTTATCGTTTCTTAGAATGTCTAACCCTGCCTCTTTTAACAGTCCTGGTGCATGGGATATTGTTTTCGTTCTTTGACTTTTAGTCTATATACATCATTTAGGACTTTTTTTCTTTTTGGAATAGGGTTTCACTGGTAGTTCAATCTAGCCTGGAACTCACTTTGTAACCCAGGCTGGCCTCAGAATCATAGTGATCCTCCGGCTTTAGGCTTCTGAGTGCTGGGATTATAGATGTGTGCTACTATGCCCAACTTCCTTTAGGATTAGGTCAATTTCTTGAATGCCGCAGAATGCTGGATTCTGTATTTGTTTGTATTTTTGAGACAGGGTCTTGCTATGTAAATCAGGTTGTTCTTGAACTCACTATGTAGCTCAGGCTGGCATCAAACTCAAGACAACCTCCTGCCTCAGCCTCCTGAGTGCTGAAACTGCACGTATGTGTCGGCACACCAAATTCTGTTCTTATTATATAGTCTGCTAATCTGTGTCCTTTAATTTGGGGTTTGAGGCCAATTATGTTGTGAGTTCCTCCTGAAGGGCATCGACCTATTCCTGTCCTTGTATGATTTTTCTGTTGTTTGCATCTTAATTCTCCGCTTTTTGTTGAATTACTCTCCTTGTTTGATGTATGCCTTCCATGTGATTTTTGGTAAGAAGCGGCAGATCTGTTGTGGCATCTTTGTTGTCTAAAGATTTGCTCATATTTCAGAGTCATTCTTTGATACAGTTTCTCGAAGGCAAAATCTCCACATCCAAGATGAGAGTAATCATGTTTGTGTGCATGTGTGTGGGGGTACTTGTGTCGAGGGTGTGTTTTGCTGGGTAAGGGGCCCAGAGCCTCTTGCATGCTAGGTAAAACCCTTACCACCATTCCCAGGAATCTTTTTAAAGAAAAACAAAAGGCTGGGGAGGGGTTAATAAACTCCCATGTACTTATTTTAGAAAGCATAGAGACAGGCATACAGAGAACTACAAGGTCCAGTGAGTTAGAGGAGGCCATGCATTTGTGATCTGGTTGTGGGCAGGTGCGTGTGTACCTGTGCACACACTCCTGGAGAGGGGAGGCCGGCCCAGCCATGGCCAGTGATTTTCACCCACAGCCCTCAGTGGCCAGGGGACACCCAGGTGCCCTTGCAGGGACTTTCCCTACCCCAGCCTGATGCTGCTTCCTGATGTGGTGACAAGGAGGCTTGCTGACCACGGCCACGAGAGTTTCCATCACTCAGGCAGCCCAGGTCCCCACCTGCCACCGCTGTCACCTCCACAGGGCCTTGAGCCAAAAACCGGGCCCTGTGACCCCAGCCAAGGCACAGACCGGCCCTGCTCCTCACCCTGAGCTCACCCTGCCAACTCTCCTCCCCAGGAGCCATCGGCATCTGAGCCCCTGACACCTGAGGAATCGGGAGAAGACCAGACGCCACGAAAACCCGTTTGTGGCCTTGACTGTATTCCTGCCCTCACGTGGCTCCAAATGACCTTGAAGAAGCCCTCAAGGTGACACTGCCCTGCCGAGCCAAGACAGCCTCCTCTACCCCGGGAGATGGGTCCGTGGGAGAGGATGTCGGACAGAAACCTGCGCAGGCCTTGCAGGCCGAGGCCATGGCTAAGGGTTTGGACCTGGGCACTGGATTGCCGAGCTCCCCACGGTGGAGCCTGGCCTCAGTCTTTTTAGCCTGGAAATATTCGAGCGTGGAGTGCCGTACACCTGCATGAGCCCTGGGCTGGTCCTCTCGGATGGCCGCAGAGCCCCTTGTGGGAACACTGTGTCCCTGTTGGCCCTCTAAGAGCAGCACAGCCAGGCCATCGAGGCTGAAGGACGGCCACTGTGGGAACCAGGCAGGTGCCCAGGGCGCTTGCCGTATACCGGGGACAGCACCATGGTGACTTTAGCTGACCATCAGCCTTCTCCTCTGGGGATGGGCAGCTCCTGGGGTCTGGGAGGAGCTGATAAAGGCGTCTGTCCATCTGTCTGTCTGTCTGCTTGGCTCTCCCAACCTGCCTGGTTCCCTGCTCCCCCCGCTCAGTTTCTGAGCATCCCATCTCCACACTCCTGGTATGATCTCTTGCCTTTTTTTCAAATCTGTTTTATTCAAGGATAAAAATAAAAGAAGAAAAACTACAAGAAAATTTCAAAACACGTCAATTGGGGGGCAACGATGATACATATGCTGTGCACCGCCATCCCCAAATCATTCACCCAGAGCACAGGACACCTGCATTCAGCTGTCTGAACAATATTGGCACAAATCTTTCTCTTCAGTGAACTCAAAGAAATCATATATCTTAACTATTTTTATATACATATCTACACATATATGTATGTTTTTCTTTCAGCTTGTCACACTAATGAAAATCTCATGTTTCCACATGTGTCTTATTTATTTCACTAATAAGTATGTTCTCAATTTCCCCCATTTACCTATAAAAGTGTCTAGTTTAACCCTCTTTATGGCTGAGTAGTACTCCATTATATAAAAATACCACATCTTTTTTATTCATTTCTAAGTCAATGGGCATTTAGGTTGTTTCCAAGATCTGGCTATTATAAATTATGATGCTATAAACATAATTGCACATATATCACTGTGGGGTGTTTTTAATTCTTTTGGAATAGCTGGGTTTAATGGGACCTCTAGTCCTGGCTATTTGAAGAATCTCCACACTGATTTACACAGTGGCTGTACCAGTCTGCATTCTTACCAACAGTGGAGAAGGGCTCCTTTTTCTCCACAGCCCCTCCAGCATTTGTTATCTGTTGATTCTTGATGACAGCCATTCTTTCCTGGTGAGGTGGAATCTCAGTGTTGTTTTAATTTGCATCTCTCGAATGGCCAGCAATGCTGCACATTTCTAATGTATTTATTTGCTGTTTGTATTTCTTCATCTGAGAAGCTCTGATCTCTGCCACCATCGCTTGGCATGAAGAGGCCCATAACAACCAAGCAGGAGCCAAGGCTGAGAAGGGTGGGCAGCAGCCTCTGCAGACCCCAGGTGAGCCACTGACATCTCAGGCCAGTGTCCAGGGAGAGCCTGAGTCGCCTCCTGGCAGGTGACTTTGATGGAGCATGGTGAAGCAGGACCCACCCTGTCCATTGCTGCGGGTTCCCGCTGGGTGTCCTTGAGTCGGGCCCCTGGACGCTGAGCCTTTCGTGTGGGACTGCAGGGCCCAGACCTCTGCTCCAGGAAGGTCAGGCAGTTGCAGAGGGAACCAGGTGAGATAAACCAAGCACCACCACCCCCCGGACAGTGTTTTCATGGGAACATGGCAGCCGCTGCCATGAACCCAGGTTGGGGGACGGGGCAGGTGACAGGAGGCTGAGTGGCTGGGGAGCAGCACGAGGCACCAGGGTGTGCGAGCTCCGCTCAGAGAGCTCTGACATGGCCACCCCATCACCCTGGGCCTCTTGGTGGCCCCTTCTGATGTACCTGGGGACTCAGGCAGTGGCTACTCAGGGAACACCCCCACCCCCGTGTAGGCAGGAAGAGGAGGGTCAGGATGGGGCTCGGGGGTCCCGGCCAACACCCACTGTGGGGTGTCCCCGACGGAACCAGACTGGTAAGGAGGGCTGGACCTGGTTACTACAGCCAGGCTGGACGCTGGGTACTTCCTGTACTGTCCTGGCACCTCCCTAGTGGACGTATGGATGGGAGGAGGCTTCCAGATGATGCTTGCAGATGGCTGGGGCTGGAGTGTCCCAAAGTATGGGATTCAGCAACAAGATCTCTTTCCTTGAATGCAGAGTGGGGTGGAGTTGGAGTCAGATTCTCACCACACCCACTAATGGGTGAAAGCCCAGGCTCACGGTAAAGTGCTGCAAAAGCAAGTAAACAGTTTGATAAACTATAAGAAAAATGCAGTGTCGGGGGGGAGACAAAGACAGGAACAGAGAGGCTGGAGGAGCAGGCGGCTCAGTAGCAATCAGGGCAAAGGACACCAGGCTGTGCAAAGGCCCTGGGGCAGGAAGCTCCCTGGCATCTGAGCAGCAAGGACTTCCGACTCGGGACCAGCCTGCCCACCATGGTGTGTCCAGCTTTTGGTCTGTCTCCAGTGCCCCACTGCAGCCTGCATTGGGGATCACAGGACCTTCATGACTGTGGCTCTCTGTGAAGTCCACAAGGCCAAGCAAGCTCAGAGCCTGCAACCTCACCTCTTGAATTTGGGGAGGTTTATGTGTATTTCCATGCTGTCCCTTTGGGCTTGGGGCCACTCAGATAATCCATGCTGACCCCATCCTGAGGTTCCCTCCCCTCGAGTCATCTTAAGACTCTCTCCCTTCAGCAGCAGACACAGCCCTGCAGCCCGGGCTTCCTGGAATTCATATCACAGAGGACCAAGACGCCCTCCACCCCCAAACAGGGACCCCAACAGGGACAGGTGAGTGGCGAGGGTCCTCGGAAGCCTTGAAGCCAGGACTGGCGGGGCCAAAGCCCTCACGTAGAGTCTCAGAGTCCACAAAAGCTCAGAGTGAGGAGAGGCAATCCTGGCAGTGAGGACAGAAAGAGACAGAACAAAACCAGATTAGAAGGGCGCTGGGGTTCCTTTTGTCGATGGAAATGCTCTAAAATTAGATTCCGGCAATGGTCGCACCGTTGTGTAAATTTACTAAACACTATTGAATTACGCATTTAGAACGGATGATCTTTATGATCTACAAACTCCTCGTCAATAAAACTGTTGGAAAAACAAACCTGGCCTCCCAGGGCAGCCAGGGCTTCCCCGAGTCCCGAGTGCCCTGAGCTCCTGCCGCCTGGAGGAGGGTGAGAATGTAGCCCAGGGTCCTGGGCCGGGGTGGGAAGAGGCTGTGAGGAGCCCGGCGGGACTGGGGGGTCTGCACCCCATCTCTGCTGGGCTCCGTCTGCTCTCCAGCGCTGCCCAAGTGCTCTCGAGCAAACCTGGCTCGGTTCCATGGTTCTTTCTGTCCCATCCTGACTGGGGGGCCGAGAGGTGGAGAGAGCTCAGGGATGGGGCATGGTCATGGCTGCTTTGGGCAGGGCTGGGCTCGCCCAATTCGTCCTCCACCCTCAGGCTCAGAGGCCAAGTGGCTTGCACAGTTTGTGAAAAACAAGTTGGTCATCTTGCCAGCCGGTCTCTCTCAAGCTTGAGGTTCTGTCTGCATCCCAGAGTCCCACCACACCCTCCATTCCAGCCTCAGTTACCCCTCCTGGCCCAGGCCCTCCCTTCTGTGTGAGCAGCAAAACTTGTGCCTCAGTTTCCCCAAATGGGAATGGGGCCTCATGGGGCCCCTCCACCCCTCCTTGCCCTGCAGCACCTTCTTAGAAGCCTCTGAGTTGTCTCAGGGCTTCTGTCCACCCAGGAAGGGGAGAAGTCCTGGGAAGTCAGGTCCTTGACCTCCAACTCGCAGCTACACCTATATGGCTGTACCTGCACCCCAGGTGAATCTGGGGGACCCTTGTATCCACCTCACTCATGATTGGGGCCTGCTGTGGGAATTCAATGGGTTGCCTGCATTTAAACCGCTGTTTCAGGCCTGGACCTGTCACCTGCTGTGTGTGTCACCCTGAGCAGAGACACACAGGGGAGTGATGGCCAGGATGAGCTGCATGAACCCCTGCTTTACCTGTTAGGTGGTGAAGCATCTCCTGACGTCTTGCCTAGGAGCAGAGATCACAGGTTCCAAAGGAGTGTTGACCTGGAAATCCTGGGAATAGTCACGCCCAATGGCCCTGAGAGCTGACAGCAGAGACCCGAGCTCTCCAAAGGCCCTCTCAGGAGCTTTGTTTTCTCACGCAAGGAATAGAGTGATGAAGAGGAGCCCAACCTGGGGCCATCCACACAGCCTCACAGCCCATTGCCTCCGGAGCTGCCGGGCGGAGGAGGGGGAGCGCTGCGGCCCAGGAACACAGCGATGGCACCCAGACAGAGACAGGATGAGCCTCTGCTGGGCCTGTTGTCCTGGCACCCTGGGAGGCTGAGGCAAGAGGGTCACACGTTAGAGCCCAGGCTGGGCGACTCGGTGACTTAGTGAGACAGACCCTGTTTCAAAGTGAAAATGAGAAAAGTGCAGGGAATGCAGCTCGGTGACCCCAACTTCCGTCCTCAGTACCAGAGGGGAAAGAGTGGACTCTGATGAAGGGGCCCCCAGGGGCAAGTCGGACCTGATGTGAGCGACAGAAGCCAGGCTCCAAGGCCACTCGGGGTCCCTGCTTAGGGAAATGCGTGGGACCGGCGATGCTGGGGCCCAATGAGCCGGGCAGGGCTGCTCAGTGGGCTCAGGGTTCCTCTGCAGTGGGTGAGGGTATCCTGGAACCAGATGGAGCGTGAGATGCACGGCCTGCTGGGTGTAGTCCCCGCCTCCAAATTGTCCCTCTCAACGGGCTAGCTTGTGCCCTTTTTCTTTTTCTTTTTTTTTTTTTTTTTTTTTTTTGTTATTTTGAGACAAGGTCTCACTATGTGGTCTGGGCTGGCCTTGAACTCACTCAGCAGTGACGCAGGCTGGTCTGGAGCTCACAAAGATCCTCCTGTTTCTGTCTTCCAAGGGCTGGGACCTCACAGGAGTGGGCCCAGTTAAGCTGGTTCCTTTATATCCTGTGAATTTCACTGCCCCATGAAAGCAGTCTCTGCTGGGGCCCTCATGAGACTGAGTAACCAGCTTAGGCAGGAGCGCTGGCTCCCAGGTGCCCATGGTGGACATCGCTGCCCAGATGCCCCTATGCCCCGGACTCCGTGAAGCCTGCTTACCTAGTTGCTCAGGTAGGACTCTGAGCAGACACCGTGTGCTGCAGGCCTGTGGCAGCCACATCTGCACACCAGTCATGCCCGACCGGGAGCAGCGGTACCTGAGGGTTTTGCTTCTGAAGACAGTGCGTTAGCCCTGATCAGCCACCCAGAAGCATGGTCCCGGGTCATCATGCCCGGGCAGGATCAAAGACAGCCACCTGCAAGGCTGCCCGTGAGTCTCCAGGGGAGACTCTCGATATGGACTTGCCTGGAGCTGTGTACCACGCTGGTGTCCGGGACAGTGGCCTCAGTGACCTTGCCCCCTCCCCACTCAGCCCAGCAGTGACATCAGCTGCCCCTAAGCTGGATTAGAAGGGAGGTCAGTGACCGACCAGGGCCTGGGTGCGCTCCGTACCCGGGACACCATGTTTCTGAACATGTGCCGATTTGAGAGCGCCTGGTGGTGAGAGGCGAGGGCTTTCTTCAGAACAGAGCTTTTGAAGGAGGTGTGGAAGAGATGGACCATGAATTGCAGGACCCTCTGTCTGGACTGGTTCCCCTAAATCTACCCACAGTGCATGTAGCCCCCACGACTTCTCCATCCGTGGTGCTTGCCCCGTAGAGAGGGGTGAGAGGGTGATCTATGGGACTGAGAGTTGTGTTTGGGAAACCTGCCTTTAGAGCGACCCAGAAGGAACCCCGGGGAGTGAGGAGACACCAGGTGGGGAAGACCCCTGGCTTTCCAAGTCAAGGCCAAGAGACAGAAAAATGGCTGCCCAATACAGGACAAAAATATAGACAAGATGAGCGAATCCACTTTGCACCCGGATGGTGAGCGGTGACCTATGCAGCCGGCAGACTCAAAGGCTGGGGTTTCACAGCCAGATCTTGGGGTTCAGGGCTAGCTGCATGTGTGCTTTTCTGTTCTGGGTTAGAGGAGGGGCCCTGGGTGTGTAGACAAGGGGTCAGCCCTGGAAACCCCTGGCTATGATTAAAAATTCAACAATGCAGTCCCTGAGTTTTCCTGGCCACCCTTGCGTAGATGCACCTGGGCCGGGTGGCCCATCCGCCACCCTGGCGCGCCGAGGCTTACGGTATTTATTTATTTATCCCCACTCCATTCTGCAGAGGCTTTGCGGGGCTTAGGAAGCGACAAGGGAACCTTTAGATGAATAGAAGAGGGCGACAAAGACGAGAGGAGAGGACAGAAAGTACCAGGCCGGTGCCAGCTGCCCGAGGGTGGGGGTGAAAGGGTGTCTGGCCCGCCAAGCCTAGGGCCCAAGGAAGGAGCAGGGTCCTGATTACTGCCTGCAGGCCTGCCCCCCATCAGTGTCCTCTCCATGCCCAGCCACTGTCACGCCATGCCGCTGGCTTTCTGTAAAGCTGCTGGACATCTCCTGGCTTCTGGGTGACCACAGCCACGACGTGCACCAGAGCCGTGTCTAAGTTATCCCCGCGTGCCCAGGGTGGGGTGCCCAGTTAGTGCTGCACGGGTCAGTGGGTGAATGAGCAGTGAACACATGAATGGACACATTAGCTAGGAGAACTCATCCCTCTGAGCGTTGGGCTGAGGGTCCGCTGGGAAGAAGCTCCCCAGCGTCACCAACGTGGGTGGGCGCTTCTGCTCTGGCCTAGGGTCTCAGCCGGGCAGCTGAACAGAAGTTCACGCCTTCAGGAAGCTGACATGGTGCCGGCTGCAGGTTGCCTAGAGAGCAGGCAGATGGCAGACACAGGGGAAGCATCGCAGCGGGGCGCAGGTTCAAGAGTGAGGTTCCCCTGCACAAGTCAGTTCAAGCCTCGCCAGCCCCTGAGTATGATTTAGAGCCTCGAGTAGGGTGAGACCCCGAGAGGGACCCTGGAGCTCTCCTGGCACCTCCTCTACTCGCCACGCCTGACTGGGGTGCAGGACCCCTTCTGGGGTCACCCAGCAGGCATGGCACATTTCCCCTAGTCCTGCCTGTGTGGCGGATGACTCAATGCAGGCCATCAGGGCAACACTGCGCCCCGCGACCCCCGAAGCCCCTTTCCAGGCTGGGCTCAGTTCCCGCCGGACCCAGAGAGCCTTGCTGAGAGCGGCTAAGAGTCAGGAGACCTGTGTGCAGAGGGAGATCATCGCGCTCCGGACATTGACTG